TGGCATAAGCTCACCTTGGTCCTTCGGACCCTGTGAGCTAAAAATAGATAGAGATAAGGATGCAGCACAACAAAGATGTCTTCAATGTCCCCTATTAAACAGAGGATGTGTAAGAAAATCTCAGATTTTGTAAAAAATAAAACCTAGGGTAGTCACTCATTATGATCCTTCACTGGTATAATATATTATTCTTTTTACAAAACATGCAGGAGGATCAAATACGCAGGGTATATAAAGGTTATCTAACTTTAGGTTTTTAACATCACATATGTTTCAGGAGTGTGACAGAATACTATTATTATTTCAAATTATTGAACAATCAAGACTATGAGAAATGATCTTATCCCTCTTACCCTCATCTGGCACAATGACAGGCTCAGTCTCCATGATTTCTTGTTTCACAACTGGAATGTCCAGCCCTGGTATAATATGTTGATGGCCGTAGTCAATAACTACTGGAGCCATGGACAGGCCTGCATCTGTTGGCTGAGATGTGTCGTACCAGGACTGTTCTGCTTCTGGCTTTACTTCTGGCACTTCTTGTCGCCCTTGTCCACGAGATCTGGATAAGCAACACAGAAAATATCACACAATAATTAAGATAAGTCTAAGTACATGAATTTAAGATGGTATGTTTTAGGATCCCTAAAGAATAAACTTAAAACACAATGATAAACAGTAGCAACTGATGATCAAATACAATTAGTAATATTCTTATTGAACCTTAGATCCTTGTTTATTGGAGACCCTGATTAATTATTTTTTATGTAAGGGAGAAAGGATAAAAGTGTCTCTTGGAAGAGAAAACAGATGGATTGAGCCTTAAGTCTGGAAATTGAGATAAATTTTACAGTCATGATCTTGCACTAATGTAAATCTGAATTCATTCAATATGTTAAAGGAAGATATTATCGCAAAAAGGCTTGTAGCGTATGAAATTAAACTTGCTTATTAGAAGATCTTAGTTTATGTATAATGTGTAACCAGTGAGCCTGGACAATTTATGACAATTACCTTGAACCAAAATCAGCTGAATCATCTTCCAGGGGTTGAAGGTCATCTGCTGTAAACACTTGCTTCTTTCGGATTTTTCTATCTTTTTTCTTCCGTTTCTTAAAAGAGGCTTTTGCTGCCTGTAATAATAAGAAATTACTTTGTGCTTAGAAAAGTTTCATAATTTATGTTTTAAAAATAATTACATGCAATTTATGCTTTGAGGGAATTAACATACTATATGCTTTGCACGTACGAACATGTAATAAAATAAGTTTTTGAGGTATTGCACACAAATTCATGTTTTGAGGTATAAACTTCGTTTTGGGGGTTATTACTTACAAATTTATATCATTATGGCCATGTGATCAGAACTGTGCAGGAAAAGCTTGTGATTAGAAGGTTCATGAAATTGATGGCAGTAACCTGAACTTGCTAACAGTACCGACACGTCTAA